CCCTGACCCTATCCCTGCCTCAGTATCTGGGTCCCCACCAGGCAGGTGTCCCAGGCGCGGCTCTCCCAACAGGGAGGGGACGAGACAGCAGTGGGTGGGGCTGAGGGTGGAGGGCCAGGGTGGGGACCTTTCAAATCTCTAACTTGTCCCAGACAGGGCAGGTGCATGTGGCAGCCCCAAGTAAGACCTAATGGGATACAAAATTGTTTACCATGTATGATTTCCCGTATTTGAAAAAAATTCAGAAAGTACACTAGTAACATAAACCCCCAGTACCAAAGGATGGGGGGAACATAAAAGAGGAATTGCAATCTTCTCTTTGTAGCCTGAGTTTTCCCCATCAGGCATATGTTCTTTTTATAAAAAGAAAACACATAAGTAAAGCCCCTGCAGTGGCTACTAACACCCCAACAATCCACTGCGTGTGACTCGAGGGCAGTTTACACACTTGCTCATGTGGGTGACAGGATTTTCCTCGTGGAAGCAGAGGGTAGGCAGAGAAGGCACTTCTCGTTCAGCTGGTGAGGAAATTCATGCTTCTGAGCCTGTCATGCAAGGTGAACGAGGGGCAGTAATTGCTGCTAATATTAAAGGTGGAGCTTTCGGAGAAAAGGTAAAATTTTGGAGAACTTGTGTCTCAACAGCTTCCCGATGCTTCGAGTTCATCTGTATGTGATTTCAGGTGCATATTGCTACCAACTCTGAAAAAACTGCCACTTGTCAATTTCTGATGTAGCATCAAAGAACACTGATAATTCCCGGAAAAGGCAATGAAGGCACTTCCCTCCTCCTAACATACAGACCTGTGTGAGGCTGTCTTTTGTTTCTGTGTTTGTCACCAAAGCAACACACTGCAAAGAAGTGAATTAACAGATTTGAAACTGTTTGAGTTTTAACTTCTAGTGGAGTGCACATGGACAGAAACAGACTGCGTAAACAAAAACTCTTCTGCGTCCTTGAGCAATTTTAAGACTGGGGTCCAGAAAGTTCCAAAACTACTGGCTAACGAATATAACACTCACTCCTCCCAATGGCTGTGACTCACTGATGAGGACAGTGAAGGGGAAGCAGGAAAGCGAGCCCTTTGCAGGCTAAACACAAACAGGAATCTGAGGACCGCCGGTACAGGTCCCGGTCATGCCGGGCGGGCCCTAGCACCTCCTGGGTCTACCAGGGCAAGGATTTTATGTTACCGTTTTGGGGGGCTGGGGTGGGGAGCACTACTGAGACGGTGATGATCTGAGCTGCAGTCGGGAAGATGAGCACGAGTCCTGATTCCACTACCGCCCAGGCGTGTTATTTCTGTGGAGTCGTGGTGCATTTATCCATAAAATGGGACGCGACTCTCCATCCCTGCCTTTGCCCTGGGAGTTGCCACAAAGATCAAATGAGAAGGTGTGAGTAATAATAAGCATTGTGTTTGTGAAGCAAATTCCACGTGGCGGGTTCGGTGCTCAACAATCAGTTCCAGGGTCTCAGTGAAGCCCCGCCACGACCTGGACAAGGAGGCCGTTGCTTCTGTTTTCAGACAAGGAGACCCGGCACGAGAGAAGTCAGACGGCCTGCCTAAGGCCACGGGGCCAGCGAGTGGGGAGCTGGGGTCCCAGGTCTGACCGACACTCAAACCCACATTCCTCCTTCCGCCTACCTGTCACAGCCTGTCTCATCGTATATGGCAAGGCGAAAGTTGACGAGCTAACCTTTTCACAAAAACTGTTTTCAAGGGTGTGAAAGAGAAGGGCAGTAAGAAAAGCAAGGGACGTGAACCCTGACTTGGCACATGGACTCAGAGTCACCCACTTTGTGGTCCGGAGACACTGTCAGTTTAAAGGTAGAAGCTGGTCAATGACAGCCAGCCTCAGCCCCGTCCGAGGGTCATACCAACATCTCCTAGGGGCTTTCACAGGACATCTCACTGGGTCACCCCGTCCACAGCCATCGAAAGCACAGAAGAAGACCAACATCTAAACGGTCACTGAGAGAGCCACCATCGCTTCTGGGGTCCGAATCTGCCAGGACCCGCCCTTCGGAAACTCCACAACACAAGGCGCTTGCAAAACTGAGTTTGTAAGCAACACAAACAATTCAGGTTTTTCCCTAGCCAGAGTTAGTCAAAACAGAAAGCTAGACCTGACCCCCAAATCTACCTTTCATTTTCCTCCGTAGAAGTAATGTTTTAATATAAACTATTGAAACACACGTTATAAGTAGTATTTTAATTAGAAAATGGAAAACAATAAACATTTGGTCTTTGCTAGTTGAATCGAAGATATGGTAGGAAGTCTAAGAAACATGAGTGTTTCTTTTTAAAAAAGGTAAATCTTGCCTTCTAAATTTCAACTGTATACACTATTGCTTAACATTTCCAGCCTTCGCTAGCCTAAGTGAATGAAATGTTAGGGACTGTTCTGAGAAATGCTGGTTCCCATGGGGGTGTCCCAGAGCTTCAGCAAGGTGGGGTGCTCCCCCAGGTCCCCAGCCTGGCACTGCAGGTGCTGCCAGCTGACCCAGAAACCCCTCCTGCCCTGGGGGGGCCTGGCTTCTTCTGCACCCTCTGCCCCAAGGCGTGGCCCCATCAATCCGCCCCATGTACTCTTCCCCTTCCTGGTAAAACATAAAAAGGGAAGCAGCAAGCTGCACACTGACTGTTGTTGGGTTGTACGAACTCCTGGGACTGACATTTTACTCGATCAGAATAGCCTTCCCTTAGTAACCCATGTTAGTAAAAACTGATTCTTTCTCCTGCCCCTCAAAAAAGGGTGCCACCATTATCTTCAAGGAAAATGTTGGTATTTATGTTTTTAATTAAATAAACTGGCTCTTCTAGCAATTTCCTTTAGATCTTTCTTAGTTTTACTCCTTGAAAGAGAGTTGATTTGGAAGAAGGCGGCTTGCAGCTTGTGTATGTTTAGGGGACTCGCTAGATCAGCTCTTCCAGTTGGGGAGACACCCCCCTCCCCAGAGGGAGGGGACAGAGGCAGTTCGGTGGCAGGTGGTCAGGACAGTGGATGCAGAGACGATGCACTGGTCCTCGTCTACTTACGAACAGCGTGCCTGGACGAGTTACATAATCTCACCGTGCCTCAGCTTTGCTGTAGGGCCGTTGTGAGCTGTTAAATAAAAAATTCCTGAACCTGGCATGTGCACAAGGTGTGAGAGTGTTCAGTAAATATCAGTCGTTTTGTAGGGCGGTAAGCAAATGTATCGCTCGATAAGTGAACGCAGACATGGCTGATGTTTGAGCGGCCACTGGCACATGCACACCCAGCGCAGAGGGGCCGTGGAGCAGGGAAGCAAACGGATTGGTCCAGGAAACGTGGGAGTGATGCCTCTTGACTTAAGCCAAGCACATCTGGTCTCCTGGAAACCACAGGTTAGCAGGACATCCCTGTGAACACAGTGACCTCGGAGAAAACAGAGCTTCCTCCCGGAGCAAAGCCTTTAGCAGATATTGCCAAAGCGCACGGGCAGAGTTTGGTTTCACTTCCTTTCTTCCCACCAAACCGCCCTCAGAGCGATGCCCCAGCAAAGAGGCAAGTGAAGCCCAAAGAAGGAGAAATGAGAGGGCCTCTTTTGAATAAAAGACATTCAAATACAGTAAAGTAAGATTTACAGAAATACCATGGGTTCATCCAAAAAGCCCAAACTGTAGAAACACATATGTGCTAAGGGAGGGGACCCCCACCTCCAGGACGCAGACTGGTACTGGCCCAGGGCTGTTAGGGTCCGAGCCTCACAGCAGGAGGTGAGCTTGAATGTGATGTGCTTGAATCATCCCCAAACCACCCCCCACCCCTTTACCTCCATTCACGGGGAAACTGTCTTCCACTAAACCAGTCCCTGGTGCCAAAAGTTTGGGGACCACTGTGCTAAGGCCAAAAGGATCCTTTCTAACGTTTTTGAAAATAAGACATATTTCTATGTTCAACCTTTACTTCCTTTAAGATTGTTACTAAGACTAAGTCAACAGCATAAACTGCCCATGAGAATTTAACTGTCGGAAGACAGATGCATATACACATGTATTTATCCAGCATGATGGTAAAAAGTATTCTGGTTGGTCAAATATTCAGGTTAATGCACACAGAAAGTCTTCATTGGTCCAAGAGGCTGCACTCCTCTGGAAGGTAGCCATCTGTACCACACAGACTGGTGGTAAGACTCCGCCTGAGTATGCAAAGCCCATCTGTTATCTGAGCACCTGAGCCAGGCCAAGGCATCTTGACTTCGAGTTCTGGGTCCTTAATGGAGGCCAAGGTGCAACAGTGAGAGGCTGGGGGAAAGAAAGAGAAGGAAACAGCTCCTCTTCTTAAAGAAAAGACCAAGGAAAGTATGGCAGCATTTCCTGGGGGTACCTTTCAGCCTCCTTGTGCTTCTCTTTTGGGACGTAGGAGAAATGAGATTTGATTCAATGAGCTCACAAAAACAGACTTTTCTCAGGGTGGACATAGTGAGGCTGGGGGAGGGTGGTGGGCTCAGCCTGGGGGGGCCCAAACCATGCTGCCTGGCAAAGGGGTCCTCCGCCCCCAACTTTATGTCTGCTCCCAGGGTGGCACCTCCAATGTCCCTGATTTTTAGGGACGCTTCTTGTCATCTACTTCTGAGACCTTAAAGTCCCTGAATCTCAAAATCTTTTTCTTGGTAGTGGGTTTAAAGGATGTGGGAGTTGGGAGAGATTAATTATCTGTACATCAGGGATTAAAAAGCACGGTCACCTCCACACAAGTGAGACGGAACATGGGTGGCCGACACAGAAACCGTCATCACCAAACCCATTAAACGGCGCAGCTGCTAGAAGGCGTCTAGAACAGGGAACAGAGTGACGCAGAATGCGGAAGAGAAGTCGGGCTAACCTGTGTTTCCGAGACTCGATACTGGGCCGCAAGCACAAATTCTAGGAACTGCGCCACGGCACTTTCTTTTCACGAGACTCCATGCCCAGGATGAAAAAGCCTTTTGGCTGTCACTTAAAAAAATTGCTTATGAAACAAACGGCTTACCAGATTTTTCAGCAGTGTGGACAGTTCCTTTGTCAGAGTAGAAAATTTGACAAAAGCAGTGCCAAGATCTGGGTTGTCTCGACTTAAAAAATTACTCCCAAACTTATCCAGAACTTGTGCGTAGTTTTCCTCATTTTGTACATGATCTAAAAAAGAAAAAGAAAGAGGAGTCTGAGCTGTTAGTTGCCACAATACCGAGTTACTTGGAACCTCAATGGATCATTAGGAACTCTCCCAAGGAAAGTGAAGAGGAACAGTCATCCATTATTTACTGGATGTGTCCAGAAGGGGGTTAGCAGGGTGCTGAGGGCTCTCCACTGAAGGGGTCCCCCTCTCGCCGTCACAGCATTTAGCTCGCTCATGTCCCAATTAATCCACAGGCTCCTGAGGGTTGAGGAGTCAAATAATCATCCCATTTTCAAGCAGTTAAGAACTATGGTAATCAGGAAACGAGGAGAAAATTCTCCTTAGACTCTAATCATCCTTGGAGTGCAAGAGAGAGCTCCATGTGTTCTAACATGTTTCTTTTCCTGCAACTAATGTTGATTTCCTTTAATGTTTTTCTGAGCCCCAAGGCCTGAGCAGTAGCGTTCAAGTGCTTTCTCACATCCCGCCTCTCACAGTGCGCAGGTGCCGACCAGCCCGTCCAGGTTCCGGGCTTGGTTTCACCACCGAGAGCTTTATGACCTTAGTTTCTCAACCTCCCCAGCTACTGTCCTCTGGGGCACATTGATGCAGAGGGGAGGGGGCCGGGGGGCTGGGTGGAAAAGGCGGAGGGATTAAGGAAAACGAAACACTCAGACACAGATAACAGCAGGGAGATTTCCAGCGGGAAAAGGGGTAAAGGGGAGGTAAACGGTGATGGAAGGAGACGTGACGTGGAGCGGCGAACACACAGCACAACATCCGGATGATGTATTATGGAACTGTACACCTGAAACCTATGTAATTTTATTAGCCTATCACACCACTATAAATTCAATAAAAAAAGAAAAAATACATACAAAAATCTCCCGACAGTGAATGCTCCATAACAACTTCTACTTCCTTGAAACACTAGGTTTTTAAAAATTGAATTTATTGGGGATGACATTGGTTAACAACATTATAACGGTTTCAAGTGTGCCATGCTAAATACATCACCTGTATGTTGCATTGTGTGCCCACCACCCCAAATCAAGTCACCCTCTGTCACTGTAAATCTGACCCTCTCTACCCTCTTCTCGTTCTCCCCACCCCCTCAGCTGCCGGTAACCTTCACTCTGCTGGCTGTGTCTGTGAGTCTGTGAAAGCTTCCTTCAGCTGGCTTGCGGGGGCCCCACTGCCTTCACCGCCCCACCGCGTAGTTGCCCCTCTTCACTGTCTTGGCTGGTCCTCCCTCGCCCTGACCTCAGGTGGCAGAGCTGTGGCCTTGGTCTTCAGGCCTTTATTCTTCTCTAACAATGCTCACTCTCTTGGGGTCTCACCCAATCGAATGGCTTTAAATAACTTCTATCAGCTGACAACTTGCCACCCAAGTTACATGCCCAGCACAGACCCCACTCCTGAAATGCAGACTCACACACCAAGCACCCAGGCAAGACGCCCACTAGGATGCCCAGTGGCTGCGGCCAATGTTAACATCACAAACTCCAGCCCTGCTGAGCAGTCCCGCCCTCTGCTCTCTGCAGTTCCCTAGGTCTCGGTCAGTTAATGGCAAATGCCACACACTGTTGCAGCTGCTCAGGCTGAAACCCATCAAGTCAGACCTGATTTTCCTCTTTCTCTTATCTCAGATGCAACCCACTGGCAAATCCTGTTGCCTCTATCTATAAAATGTATCCAAAATCTGACAGCGTCTCACCATGCCCATGGCTATCTACCTCATCTGGTATCACCTCTTTCCTCAACCACTGCAGAAGCTTCCCCCACGAGCCGCTGTATTGCAGTTCTTGCTCCCCTGCCGTCCATTACCCACGCTGCAACCGGTGCGGTCCTGCTAAGCTGTGCATCAGATCTTGTGACTCTACGCAGGCAAGACACTCATCACAAACAGCCAGGTTCCTGATCTCTGCAGGATCATGGGCAGGAGCACAGAACATCCCCACCTCCTTGAAGCAATGAGGCGAGGGAGAGGCCTGCACAGAGCCAAGGAGACATGAAGGAGGTGATGGGTAGCACTTTGACATGGAGGAATTTTAGATGCCTGTGCTCAGCTCTCCATTTCTCTTTTCCTGTCATGGAGTCCAGGGAAGCATGAACTTTTTTGAAGGCCCACAGGAGACGTATATGTTTACTGAGTGGATAAAGGAGCAAATGTGTACCTAACAAAACCCTGTCCTTCTAACTCCTATCTTTGGAGGCTTAATTCAATGCCTTTTTCTTTATAAAGCCTTCCCTTGCTTGCCAAGGATTCTTTCCTTGCCCATAACGCTCTATACCGCTTCTGCCATCTTTTCTGCCATATCAGGTCGCGTTTGTGTGAGTGAAGATCTGTCCTGGCCACCAGGCCACGAGAGGCAGGGACTGCCTCCGGCTCACCCCTGGGTCCCCACACCACAAACGCCCGTCACCGTGCACTTTTCAGGGAGAGAGGCTCTTGAAGCAAGAAGGGCTCAAGTCAGTCCCGGTTGCCTTGGATTGGTGGATTTCCTTTTCGGGAATTTAAGAGGCATCCCCTTAGCAAAGCTCCGAAGCTGTTCCATAGCAGAGATGAAATGTGAACATGTTTCACTCTCACAGACGGCCTCAACAGCTGTGTGGGCGCAATGAGCACCGGAGGAGCGGAATCCGGCCTGCGCTGCCAGTCTCCATGCGGCAAGGGACAGAGCAGTCCCGGGAAACGCAGCGGGACCGGCAGCCTCCTCCTAATCATCGCCACATTAAAAATTCACGAGGCCTACAGTGGATGTCAGCATTTCGGGCTGAGATGTTTAAAAAGATAAAGCGCAGCTCTGGTTACTGCCCATGTTCACTCAGAGAAGCGGCCCAGAAAGACACAAAAGAAAGGCCACATCAGCTGGACGGACAGGACGCACGTGTCTGATCTCGGAAGCTGCTGCTGCCCCGGACACCTTCTGCCTGCAGCCAAAGGGCCTCACTCAATGCTGAGACTCTCCGCACCCACCCGACAGCAGCCTCTGCTTTCCACGGCCAGCAACCAAAGCACTCGGCTGCCCAAATTCCCACTGCTTGCAGAAAAAGGTATTGGTGATAGAGAAAACATAAGCATCAGGCTTTTGGTTTGTTTGCTCAAAATGGTAAAATATTTCAAATGATACAAAAATCTTTAGATTAACAGAATACTTACACACCCAGAGGAAACTCTAGGACCCCTCTAAGCTGCCATGGGGATGGGGGGCAGAAGGGGGCCTTCTTGACTTCTTGCTCGAGTTTCTAGACTCTGCAAGGGAAGATATGGTTCTTGGTGTGGATTGGGGGTTGCCTAGGTACCTTAAGTATAGCCTAGGTCATGGGTCCTGTATGTTTTGTTAATTCCACAACTGAATAACCAGTCACTGTATACATCTACGTACACACGTAGATGTTTGTGCATTAACCATATACATATACATATATGCATATTCCTAGTACAGACACACATTTGAAAATATGAGCTAATTAGTGAACTGTATCTTAGAATAGTGCCTGGTGTGTGGCATGAAGTGCCACCCCCTCAAATGTCAGACATTATTACCTCTACACCCGAGATCAGTTATATATAATACAAAGACGTGTTGAATAGCAAAAGGCATGCAGCTATGTCGCATACGTTAAGTTTTTTCTTTACACACTGCATTATAAATCTGAGACGGACAATTCACTGGAAAGATGAGGCAAACACACACACGCCTTTGTTCACAGTGAAGGGCTCACCACGCAGGCTTTCGACAGGCAGCAGGGAGAGAGCAAGGACCCACGATTCAGGTGGAGGAAGAGGGAGCCCGGGGCAGAAGGGGCGGCCATGCGGGGGGCAGACTACAGAGTACAGTAAGCACTCTGAATGGAATGTAAATTCAGGGGTTTAGGAATGAAGAGGAAAATAGGGGCTCTGGTGCGGTGGAGGGCGGGAAGCGCTGTCACAGCCGTGGGTGTGACTGAAGGACAGGGACAGAGGAGGCAGGAAATGGCCCGCTCAGTTTGGGACATTTCAGAGAGCAGGAAAAGGCTCTGCTTTAAAATTCTCAGCGCATCCAACTGCTAGGGGACTTGGGAGGTCGGTAAAGTGGGGGCTGGGGAGAGAGCGGGTGAGGACAGAGACTGCGTAGAAGAACAGGTGAGAGAGAAATCTGATCCACCCACTGTGGGGACCGTGCTTTTCAAATATTTGTATGGAATTTCTGGCATTCGTGGCATTACTGCAGAAGGTAAGATCACTCTAAAAGCTAGGTAACTCCTTTCAGTTCTGAAAAAAGAACAAAACAGTATTATTTCACCAACCAAACCAGAAAGGGCCAGTCCTTCAGGAATTCACAGCTGGCATGTCTTTGGAAGGATGACTAACAGGTACTAATCACGTGGCCTGTTCCGCACAGGCCGACGGGGCCTGTCGTTCCAACATTTGACCCCACAGCAGCACCTCAGCAGTGCTTTGCTCTTCCAGTAATAACAGTGACAATGGCCAGTGTGTCGAGTGTCTAGCACATGCCAGTCACTGCATGCAGCACTTTTCACACCTTCCTCCACTAACTCTTACCCGCAAGTTAGTTGGTAAAGTACTGTTATCGTCCTCATTGTGGGGGTGCAAGAACAGGCCCAAGGTCCGGCAGGCCACAGACAGGGGCACTGAAACTTCAGTGTTCCCATCTCAGAGCCGAGGACCCCCCCCATACCCCAAAGTGGGACTGTCACTTACCTGGTGTAGAGCTTTAGTCCAGCGCCTCACCTTTGTAAACTGCCCCCCCCCCCGTCCCCTGCCATGAAATGAATATAACAAAGGCACTTCCCTCACAGAGGTGTTGTGGAGATTAAGACAGTGCAAGGCACACCACAAGCTCTGTAAATGTGTGGGAAGACGTTACCGGGCTGCCCGGCTGGGGCCACGGCGGGCACCCTCCAGAATCGGCCAGCTGACAGGGCCCCGCCCATGCTCTGCAGTCCTCAGCAGCCCTCGGTTCACAGTCCCCAGGGCCGGCAGGAACGCGTGTCTGTGAGGCACGAAGATTCC